CTGGAAGTGTCCCAGGCCAGGTTGGACGGGGCTTGGAGCACCCTGGGCTGGTGGAAGGTGTCCCTGCCCATGGCAGGGGTGGGATAAGACGATCCTTAAGGTCCCTCCCAACCCAAACCATTCCATGATTCCAGAAATATGAACCTGCCATAGGTATATGGATTTTTTTTCTGCTTTTCCAGAGGCAACCAGAGCTGGATTCATCACCCTGCTGTGTCTCTCGGGGTTAGTCCTTATAAATCTGGCTACAGCTGGTTTGCTGCTCCTGTGGAAACACCACAAGAAAATCAAACAGTCGTTTCAGCCACCTTTGAAAATCCCCTCACACTTCGAAGAGGTACGTGCAGAGGGTTTGTGTTTCTCCTGCAAAAGAGGGAAGAGGAACCAGGGCAGTTGTTGCCCAACAGGAATAAACAACTGTTGTCTCGGGGTGACTTGTCTGATGCTGATCTCCCACCTCATTCCTCTGTTACTGAGCTGGATGATATTTTACTGTGTGCTGAGACACAAACTCTGCTGGGCTTTCCTGTAAAACCCCGAGGATGACTCTGACCCGGGTTCCTGTTCCCCTTTTTTGGCTCGTCTCGGCCCTCAGGCCCCAAACTGGGGCTCTCTTGGAGCTTTTCCTCTGTTTCCTGTAGTGGGGGGTTGACCTTGGCTGGGCACCAGGTGCCCACCCAGCCGCTCTGTCCCTCCCCAGCCGGACAGGGGAGAGAGTAAGGTGGAAAACAACTCGTGGGTCGGGAGAAGGCAGTTTATTTGAAGCAAAAAGTAAAGCTGAGCTCGTGTGTGCAGAAGCCAAAGAGAACAGGGTTTGTTCTCTGCTCCCATGAGCAGCCGTGGGCGGCACTGCCGGGAAGCAGGGCCTGGGAACATGGATGGATCCTCAGCAGGAGACACTGGAGACAGTGAATGCCCCCCTCCTGCTCCTGCCTCAGCTCTTACATCTGAGCTGAGCTCACGTGCTCTGGAATATGGAATGCAGCAGACCCATCGTCCCTTTCCTCCTCCTGGCCTCCAATCCTGTTCCTGCTCAGAGTACTCACTGTCTGACCCCTGCCATGCCAGACCAGAGGTCCCCTCAGCAGGATCAGAGCAGTTGATTTCAGTCCTGTTACATCTGAGAGGTCGCTGTTTTCTTTCTTGGGTCTCTATGGCAACTCCATGGGCAGCTTTCCTGGGTGACCCCTTCTTAACAGTTCCCTTCCCTCTTAATTCCTGTGCTGGGGCTTCCAGCTCAGAGGTGGGTTCCCCATCCCACTTCTTCATGGCTTCCCCCTGGTCACACAGAAAGAACCAGAGTTCACCACATGGCCCGAGCTCGGGGCTTCCTTTCCCTCTGCCCGGGGCAGGAGGGGACTGATCTCTTGGGCTGCCCCTGGGAAATGAGGTGCTGGCCCGTGGGAGTGAGGAGGTGCCCAGAGTTTCTTCTGCATCTCGAAGCCAGGAGGACAGCACCTAGAGTTCCTGGATCCATCTTTGGGTAATACACTGGTACCAGGCTGTTAGAATGTGACACAGGGGCACTTTGAACCGCCTTCCTCCACGTGGCCACCGTGCAAGGAACATCCTCTGGCTCTTTGGGGGTGTCATCCCTTCTTAGGCTACTAGAGATGATTTCCAGCACTGCTGATTCTCTCAAGCACTGGACACCTTCATCTGCAGTGGCCCCACTTTCCTGGGGAGCTCCTTAGATCTTCCTTGAATGGATACCTTTCCCTCATGCTTGGGAGGAGCCATCTCCGAGACTGCAAATTGTTCTCTGCTTTCCAATTCCTCTTTCAATTTGACTGTCTCTGGCCAGGGATCCCAGCTGGGCTTTGTGACCTTCCAGTAGTTGACCATCAGCCCCGTTGTCCCAGCATGGAAGCAGCCAGGCAGGAATTGCTCACCGGGCTGGCAGCTGGAATCTTTCTGCCAGTCCCGGAGTTCTGAGGGGGTCAGAGACTGGGAAACCTTGGTTTGCTGTGGGATTTGTCTGACTTCCTTTGGTGAAGGACCAGCTTTCTTATCTGTCCCCTCCTTCTACTCCTTCTCCTTCCTCTTCCTCCTCTTCCTGCCTTGCCAAACCCTGCTGTGGCCCTGTCCCTTGCCTTATCCATTTCTTCCTTTTCACTGCTGGTCAATGACTGTAGTTGTGGTTTGGGTCCTGTCTCATCCCTGTGCCCTCAGTTTGGGTCCTGTCTCATCCCTGTGCCCTCAGTTTGGGTCCTGTCTCATCCCTGTGCCCTCAGTTTGGGTCCTGTCTCATCCCTGTGCCCTCAGTTTGGGTCCTGTCTCATCCCTGGTTCCTC